TTAGTTAGTTAGTTAGTTAGTTAGTTAGTTAGTTAGTTAGTTAGTTATCTATTCAGATCTTCTGGTTGCTATTACTTTCTGCTTTACAGGATCATAATAAAGGAAAACACCTTCCCTGCTGTTTATGTTTGCTTCTTTCCATGTTTTTATTCCACTTTTGCTCCATTTCCTGTTCTAACGAAGTTCACTTATTCATCATTAAAGTGAGCTCATTTTCTCTGGCTACTATTAAAAAAAATCTTTTGCCTTCTTTTGTCCAAAGTCTCTCATCTCTGGTGGGACTTAAATTCTTCTAATTCAAGCTTTGACTGTTTTAAAAAAACTCATCTAAATCCTGATCAAAACTCTCTGTGAGTTGTGTTATCCTGAGAAGTCTGAAGATATCTTCTGCTTTCTTTTTGTTTTTTTTATTGTAAATAATAATTCCCAAGTGAACCCTCACCCTCCCAATAAGTCCATTAGCACAATACACAGCAGTTCATCCAATTAAGCCTCAGAGCTCATTCAGGTCATTAGAAGACTCTTGTTATGATTTTCTGCTCAATCAGCTTCAACCTTCTTCTGCTTTGACAAAGTGGAATTGCTTTTTGATTCCTTATTATAGAATTTCGGGTTTATAAATGGCCTCTTATGGTGCTTTTTGTTCCCACTTTGCTGTTTTAATGTTGACATTTCCTCACTGCTGAATCAATATCGTCCTTTTTTCAGCTTAATCTTTGAGCCTCAATCTAAAACTTGTACAGGAAACTAATCATATTTTTGCTATTGATTTCGAATCGTGTAGTTATTTGTATAACAAGTCATGAAATGTTATTCTAATGTCCCATTTTCAGGGATGGCAAAATGAATGTCGCTTTACAAAAGCCACCGTCATGCAATCAGTTTTTTTCCGACCCAAAGGGAGATAAAGAGAGAGGAAAGTCATTAATTCAGTATTTCCCAGACACACAAATTTGAACGATAGGCTTTCAGAGCAAACTAATAGCTTTCCGCATTGTTTCCCTTGTTGTTATTCGGCCTAATTTGAGCGTATCGGCCCAAACCAGCAGCTCTGCCCCGTTTCCTCCCCTCTGATCAGAAATCAAACAGTCTCCACAAATGACATCATCAAGCCTTATCTTCTTAACGCTTCAAAACCCGATCCAAGAATATAAAACAAAACAGAAAATTTATTTTTTTTCTGTTTGAATTCCTTATTTGGCCTTTTAACAAAATATGTAAAAAGAAAAAACAGAAATAAATGTTTAATATTAATAATTTATTACTATGCGATAAGTCAAGATTATTTTTTGTGTAGTCTTCTGCCCCCTGTTATCAGGTGTATCTGATTGTGTACAATAGGATTTAGAGCAAAGTTTTTACCGTTAAATTGAGGACAAAAGGTGTCAGACGCAAAACATTTCAGAAACCGTATGAATCAGATATGATACATTTGGCATTATAGGGTTAAAGTTGGACGAGAGGATTTGAGATATTCTGGGGCATCTTCAGACTCCTTTTGTCAAACCCAGGTTGGGTCTAAAGTCACAGGACACTGTTTTGTTTCAGAAACTGAAGGGAAAATGACACATCTGAATATAAAAAAGCCATGTCCTGGACATTGTGGTGGATCAAAGGCACGTTTTTCCAACGTAGCATGTCGAAGAGAAGAAGAAATCCCTCAGAAATCGATTGGTCCAATCAGGTTTGTGGCATCTTTTGTGGTTCACAACTGAAGGGAAAATGACATATCTGAATATCCCCGGCGTAAAAGTTTGAGGGTTCCTTTCTTAACCCTATAATGCAAAATGTATCATATCTGATTCATACGGTTTCTGAAATGTTTTGTGTCTGATACCTTTTGTCCTTAATTTAATGGTAAAAACTTTGCTCAAAATCCAATTGTACACAATCAGATACATGATGTCAAACCCAGGTTGAGTCTAAAGTCA